ATGAGTGCCTTCACTTGATTACCTAATGACGTCCATGACTCTCCTCTTATAGCTCAGGGTAGCCTGGGACCAGGCCTGGTTGTTAGTTAGAGGTCCACCGATCATGGGCATTGTGTGGTTGTGAAGCCCCTTAAGACTTGGTCCATTGACCAAGCCAGAGATCAATTTCTAACATTCTCTCCCTTGATCGAATGGCTTAATACATAAATCCAGTCTTAACATCATTAGTCCACTCTCAGTAGAAAAGCATATAGAAGCAATATGTTACAATGGTCTATAAACGCCACTGTAACCTTAATACCTACAATATATGTCAATCCACTTCGATAGGATAATCACTTATACATAATGAGAGATGGCCCTTTACTTATGGTCCAGTTGTGCAGTTTGTTTATATAAATGTGCACACATAAAGGAGAAAGCAAACTTGTTTCCAGAATCAAGATTTGAGATCTCAATTTGTCCCAGAATAATAGGTTGCCAATTATCTTTATGCCGGCAAGATCTTAGGGCAAACCTAAAGTAGGGAATCATCAAACTAAATATGTGCTCCACATCTTATAGCATGATATATAATACTTATATATAGAGCATCAAATCATAAACATAAGCATAATTCATTAAACATAACTTTAGACATTATATAGTTGATGATATCTGATTCTAGAATTTATCTTTCACAATGTCTTAGGTTTGGCAGTACCACTTGACATGTTACTCGAATAAAATTGCACTCATTATTTAATGAATTTCGGGATAAATCATAAGTTCCTTAGTCTTAAATCATAATACCTTACATTGATCAATATTATGTCACAACTCAGTATACATAATTAATGGTGCCTTGAGAAAACTATTGGAGCCAGTCCACAGCATGGCTCCCCGCAAGGGTGAAGATTCAAACTTTATGTGGATTTCATAATATCACCACACCTTGCATAAATTAATTTCTCATAGCACTTTTGACTTTTATGTGAACATGCGATCTGTTAGTGTCATGCATATCAACGATTTTCAGGAGTCCAGTCCTGAACAATGTCTGCCAAATATCCCGTTTGCAAAAGATCAAGGGCTCATAATGACTTAAGTATACTTAATGCTTATGAAAATAGCAGCGTGAATAAAAATAGTCGCCCTTAATCATGACAGAGTAAGTATTTCCATTAAAACTTAAGTACTCCATCAAAGTATAACTTTTGAGATAATCATAATTCTCATTTTGGACCAATATAATCTTGGTGAATCATAATGCCCAGAATCATGAGAGACATCACCAAGGTAATTTTAATGCCTAGGCGAGAAAATAAATCCCAGGTCTTAAATACAATATCTGTTTACACCAAAATTTGGGAATAAGAATGCGGAAACTCGAAGCTTCCAGGATTGTGTCATCAAGGCATCAATTAGATGTGAATCGGTAAAAGCTGATTTATATATGATGTCAGAATCAGCTATTTTATAGATGACGTCAGCAGACGGCGTCAATGGGCTATGCTTGAATGGCGTCAGGAAGAAGTGTCAGACTCTACAAATAAGGAAAATTAGGGTCCAAGTTATTATTAAGTTACGAAGTTTTCGTTTATTCCAAGAATTATAATGAGTCGTATTTGAGTATGATTCATATTTAGGTTTCGGGTATAAATATTAGTCCCTGGTTATTGTAAAAAAAATGAACACTCAATCAATATAATCTTTTCGGCTTTCGCCATCGCATTAGGAGTAGGAGTACTGTAGATCTCGGTGAGTTCTTCAGCAAACAGGGTTGCATCGATTGATCGACCTCCAGCTTGCTTGTGAGTACCATCACGACTTGTATTGTGCTTGTAAAGCTGCATCAGCTGATTGATCTTTTATGAGCCACAATATAAGTTAGTTATCGATCAGTATCGTAGTTTGTAAGGCTGCATCAGCTGATTGATATTTTATGAGCCATAATATAGATTAAAGTTATCGATCTTATATTAAATAACTTGTTTAATACAATATCACCGGTTATCGAATCTGCTAAGATTAGTAAGATTCTCCTTGCTGTTTTTTGGTTGATTCATCAGTTGTCGATCTTGTTATAATTAATGTTTTATTAATTATAACAAAATCACCCGATTGAGATAGAGATAGATCAGCATCATATCATCTTAATTGGTCGTCCTTTAATCTGGCCATGCTTTAAATCTTATAATTGATGGCTTAATTTCACTAGATCGTCTGTTTTATCTCTATTCCAATCAAACATAGTATGCATCCAAAGACATGTTTCAATCTTGAATAAACTCACTGGTTAATGAGATCTAATCTAATGACACTACCATAGCTACATCGATCCGGTCGAATCTCACTGTAAGACTTTAGATTAGAAATTATCGATTAGTAGTCTTGTTCATGATCAAGATATGTACAATGTTTGTTTGCTTTGACTGCATCGGCTATTTTAGCCGATTTGCCTATACTCTCACGCATATAGCATGTTTTCATGAATCTATTATCATATAGATGGTTTTATAGATTCTTTGGCTTTAGTTTGTTATCATTATCATAGCTACATCGATCCGATCGAACCTCACTGCTGATGATAATAGATTAGATTCAAACTGTTTGTAGATTCATTTATATTAGACAGTCGATTTGTTCGCATGTTATACTCTTTTCATCAAACTTATCGGCTCGACACTTTATATTGATCATATTCTTTCTGATGTTCCATGAGCATTGATTATTTTGATTCATATCATTATCATTTAATATTAGCCGATAATCCTTGATTTAAAGATCTTCATTTCATGGATACGCCGGATATCGACTATTTAGTCAATAGCCTTATTGAATCGGTTATCTAGCCATACATTTGGAACTGTTTGGTGCAACACCGATATGTTCCACTTTAAATTACTGATAAGATTTTCTCTCCTTGTCAATTGCAGATCAAATTGACTATCATGTCGTTGGGTTTTCAGAATTGGCTAGTTCTATGTTGAAGCCAAGCAGATCTCTAGTCTTGTTCCACTCAGATCATCTGGCTTGCTATGTGTTGATCACATTACCACATTTTTTGTGTCAAAACACTTTTTGGCATGCCTGGTGGGATCACAATCGTCATGGTAGTTCACAACAACAAGGATATTCTTATGGTACCTTATGAAGACTTACCTGATGAGGATAAAGATGTCATTGGTAAGGCTATAGAGGAGTTTCAGAACAAGTACTTGTTGTCATACACCAAAACACGTGACAATAAAGTTGTTCAGAAATATCCACTTCCGAGAGGAGTTTTGATGCATGGACAGTCAGATACAGACGAAGCAGATGATAGACATTTCTTTGTAGAAGCTGTCAACAAATCTATTCATGATGCAATGCTGAATCATAATACAGCTTTCTTGAATACATTCCACAATACCATGAAGGAGGTGTTTCATGGATTTCCACTTGATCAGGTTAGACCGGCTTATTACAATATTCCGCATCCGTCGACTCATGGGACTAATCAAGCCAGTACTAGCCATCAAGAAGCAACACTAGCTAAGAATGATGATGCCCAGACAATTCAGAATTCATCTGAGAAATTCAGGGTGCTACTACTAATCAAATGCAATATAATCCTAGATCATCAGTGTAGCATGTGCAACAGCCGACAGGACAAGTTTAGAATCAGATGATTAATTTTGGTACATCAGGCCAAATACCACCGTCGGCTCAAAAAATAGCACCATCGATTCAAAGGATTCGTAGAGATACAGATCCTAATGTTTTCAATGAGAGATTTCAAATAGTAAATCAGCAAGAGACCCAACAGATAGATATTCCACAAGGATACTATTATGGTTCAGATTATAATACCCTCAATATGATTCCAAATCCAGGATATCAAGACACTCAGAATTTCAATCTGCAGATGGGTCAGTAATTGCCAAGAAATTCAAACTCAAATGCTGATGAATTGTTGCTCAGAGTAACCGAAATGATGAAAAATCAATTTGGTTTAAAACCAAAAGGGTAGATCTTTTCGTACAAACATCCATATCCAGAGTGATATGATTTGGTGGCCCTTCCTACGAACTACAGGCTTCTAGAATTTGGTAAGTTCACTGGTCACAAAACCTTTTTTCTTCGCCACAAATCATCCTCTGTGGTGAACTTTTTAATCACCACTAGTTGCCATAAATACTCGCCTCACAAATACTCTAGTGATGTTTTTTTGTTCCCCACAAATAGCCATACTCATTAGTGACAAATTGTGCTTCCACTAGTAACGTGGCCATTTGTGGCCCATTTGTTGTCACAAAAACATACACATTAGTGGCAAAAAATCATGCCACTTATAATGTTTGTAGTGGTAATAATAGTTGACACAACTATACAAAATTTATGGCAATATAATTGTCACAATTACCATTGTAAAAGTGGCAAAATTAATGGTCACTAGAGACTACATATTAGTTACAGAAGTTTCGCCATTACATGTGTTTATTGTGTCGATGCTTGTTCTCACTATTTAACTATAATTGTGTCTAATGGTTTGCCACAATATGTGGTAACTTGTTAACACAAATACTTTTTATTTGTGATGCAAACTCATCCTCACATGTAAGTTACAGTGGCAAACCTTTGTCACACAAAATTATCTTTTTGTGAGAATTGACAAGACAAATTGTATTAATAGTTTCATCACAAAAAACATAGCATTTGTAGGAAAATATTAGTCAAGACAAGTTTTGTCACAAGATAAGTTTCAATTGTGTGAAACATATTAGTTGTTCTGGCGACCGAGTCATCATTATTATCCTTGTTATAGTGACAAAAATAACTCAAACAGATGTACACTATAGCAATATGATCCTCTCAAATATGCATGAATAATATTTATTTCAGTAATTTAAATTTGGCAATCAAGCAGTACCCAAATTTGAGAACACTCACAACCCTCAAAATAACTATCTTGACACTACTTTAATGTCTCACAATAATTATTCAACTAAAGGCTTTAAACTCTAAGATGTTCGAGGCTACGAGGCACCAGAATGTATGCGTGTGATTAATTCAGCCATTTGATTATCAAGTTGTTCTCTCACTAGACGAACAACTTCTCCACTCTGTGCTTGACGCAAAGGAGTAAGCTCATCACGTTGGGATTGCTGCTCTTCTTGCAGGTGTGCATTTGTTTCGACCACTGTGGAAACTTGGCCTTCCAAAGCCTGTGCCTGTTGCTCAACAGCCTCAACACGTTGTTCAGCAGCATCTGCACGTGCTTGAGCTGTAGCTTCACGCTGTTCAGAAGCCTCAATTTGCACCTGCAGTCTGATCCTTTCCTCAGCCACTTGGTTTACAGAACGAATGCTAGCACCACATGAATGGTTTGGCTTTCGACCAAGAACTAGTGCGAAGTGCTCCACTATGGACACCGGCGCAGAATAATTTTTTTTTCTTGATGTATCCCAGCAGCTTCCTGTAGCTTGGTCTGCAAAGCATGAAACAACAAACCAATTAAGAACCCATATACTAAGCAGCAGCCAAAAACGTTCATGTAATGAATCATAAGTATGAGCATAAATTAATTAGCTACATGATAGTGTAATGCAAATGTTCTCAGAGTTGCTGGTGTTGAAAACAAAATCTGTAGACATGTTATCTAATAAATGAAAAATGCAGACAAATTAAATAATATGTGAAATTTACAAACAACTCATTAAAACAATATTGTTCATGATTAGAGATATTGCAAACACATCATAGTGCCCAGACTTTTCAACTCATTAAATGAACAATACATCAGAAACTATGTTGCAGAGATAATAACCATGAAAGAGTCATACAGAATTCTATTAGCATATTTTTCATACAAAAACACATCACTTCCACCTAATCCTAGTTCAAAAGGTAGGATACAAATTGACATGTTCATACCATAATTTCTTCACCCGTTGGAATGGACCATGTCCCATCAACCTTTTGATATGTAGCCCTCCAAACTTGTATAGCAGTAGGCCATTCACCAGTTTCTGGGTCTTGTTCGAATAAAAAAGCATGTATTCACTTAGCAAATAAAAAATCTGCCTGGTAACTTTTTTCTCACCAGATCGTAAGCGATTTGAGCAATTGATCTAGTTCCTACTTTGGACCCCATCTCTTGCTTTCCTCTATTGATAGAGTTTTGGTTGCTCCTTTTCTGGTTTATAAATTGCATAAATGTGTCATTAACAATAATGTAGCACTGTAATTTAGGACGAGTAGTATATACCTGAAAATCATCATCTGTCCACAAATTCCTTATCAACCATTGCCAACGTTCTGGTGAGACATGTTGTGGCCTTGGCTTCTTGTTATGGTAAGCTTGAAGCAGACGATAACGTCGATTATTGTATTGACTCTCTACTTGTCTCATGGCACAATCTTTATCTTCTTCCGAAAGCTCAGGAAATTTTTGTTGTACAACAATGATATGATGTAATAAGCAGCCATTGAATGCAATGATAACCTATGCATGCCAAATATATTTATTTCATATGAAAATTCACTTGGAGTGGTACAGTTCTTACAAGAACTGTTATCTCACTTTTAAATAAACTAGCATGTTCTCCACACACTTTTGCAAATTCTTTAGAGAACTTTATATCAATATTGTTTCCTTTTGCTCTTCTCTTGCGAAGTTGATCACTGGTTGTAACTTTTCTACCACTCTTCTTAGCAGGGTCTAGTTAATATAGGGGGGAAACAACAATAATTAGATGTAATATTTCATATTTCTACTCTGTACTGTACATAAACAAATTCAAATAGTATAACAGTTCCTAGTTACTTTGGTGGTTTTCTAAAATGCACTGCTTACTATTATGTTGTGTAAAGAAACAATTCCAGATCAACATAACAGAGCCTACTGAAAGTGAGCCTAGGCAATTTAGTGAAATGAACAATAGTGTACAGAAAGATTTTCATATTAGCTAAGCACCTTCAGTGTTGTGTGCTGCAGCATTTATTTGAATATTTTCATCCATGGCCTCATCTGAATCCAAATGATCACTTGTATTGTTAGCTCGAGAGGCACGTGGACGTAACCTGCTTGTTCTTTCCCCTGTAGGAGTAAACATTTTATAAAAGTAGGATTTTTATACCAACAAGAATACAAGCCACAAGTGTTCATAGTTGCTCCAGTTCATACGTATGAACAAGTCATGGTGCATTCAATTGTATGAGAACTAACAGGCTTTGGTTAGCTTACAGTGCAACTGGTGGAGACTAATGGAATCAGTATCAATATTAAGATATTGAGTTCCTCATAACTAGAAGATACACCTTATTACCTTCGTATAAGATCATGTAAGTTTCCTAAGCATAATTGAAACATTGGACTATGTGACATGCTACAATACATCATATTTTTTTATGCAGAGAAATTATTTAGTGGAACTGAGTGTATGAATCCTATACCAGAGGTGATCAACTGCTCCCTTGGATCAGATAAAGCAGAGGTCAACTCATCAAATTCTCTATCAATTTCAGCAATAGTTTGGCGAGTCACCCATGGAGCCATGTCCCTTGTGGAATCAATGAAGATTTGCCAAAAGAAATAATCTAAAAAATAATAATTTCATAAACATGAATGCCGGAGTGAGCAGGAGGCATGGATGCCCTAGCGCAGCAGTATGCAAGGGCTGGTGTCGAGGGCAGGCATGGATGCAATGCATCTTGATGGATCGAAGGCCGGGTGTCGGTGCAGAGTAGTAGGCATCACATCTTTGCGGATGGGCAGAGGTGTGAGGAAAGCGGCGCGGAGATGGGGGCAATGGTGACCAGGATGATAGTTTGCAGCGGCATGGATCCGATAGGTATGATCTCGGCCTGCCAAGAGGGTGCACTTTGGTTTCTTGGTATTTTGTTAGTCACTCCTTAGAGGGGGGTTCATGCTTATTGATGGGGAAACCTTAGTGGCCCTAACTTGTTAGACGAACCTTTGAAAGGCTTCATAGTGAACCCAGCCGACCTTCCTAGGTTGTGGGTTAAGAGACTAACTACCTCGGGCGAAAGGGTAAATCACGACTCATAGTGAAAGTATACAACCTCTGCAGAGTGTAAAACTGGTATATCAGCCGTGCTCACGGTCATATGAGTGGCCTTGGAATCCTTACGGAATAGATGATGAACACTGATGATACTAATGATAAAGATACTCATTAATGGTTAATTGTTTATGCTATTCATTATTCATGTTTACCTGATCATGTGTTTATATGGGCTTGTAATAAACTTGTTGCTACTCCTATGCTAAAATTGTGACAATTAAAAGCTAATCACAGTTAAACCAGTGTTAGCCTTTTGAGGCTCATGAACCCCATGTTATATTTGTTGAGTACGACATGTACTTACGCTTGCTTTATTTTTCACATATTTGGAAAAAATCCTGAATGGGTACCAGATTGCTAGAGTTTGTAGGAATTAGGCTTGTGATCAACCAGCCAGTTGTCCCTGTGGAAGTGGAGTCTTCACCTGAAGATCAGAGTTGTCTTTCCGCTGTCTTTACTCTGAGGTTGTATTCTTTATACTAATACGCTATGTAATAAGCATTGTCTTATGATATTACCCTTATTCGTAGCTATATATGAGATTTGTCTTCCTAGGCTAACATATGGTGTGTATCTGGTTTTGTTCTTAAAATCAGGTGCTACAAAGTGGTATCAGAGCAATGTTGACTGTAGGACGCAAGCCTAGTAGAAAACTGGTTGTTCTAAGGTTTAGAAGTTGCTACAAAAACACTTGCTCTATGAACCTTGATATTTTCTTCTCTACTATATCTCTACCCTTGCTATCCATCTCTACCTTGGTGCTTATTTTAAAGTCTTTGTTCTCATCTTCACTCCTTGATTTGATATGCTTTTAGAACTATTCCACACCACCTTCTTGCGCAATCTGAAGATGAGTCTTAGGATTGTTACCCCTAGTACAATGAGGACGATAGTATCGCAAGTTGAGTCAATGATTGAATTGTGCACCTTTATTGTTTTATTGAATTGTCATTATGCTTATGATTGTTTTGAATTGTTGTAATGATTGCAATGATCTTGTTGGGGTTTCCCACAATTTCATTTAGTTTATAGGCCTAAGGTATAAGGATCAGTGTAATAAATAGTTGGGTTATGGTTTTCTTCTGATTTCCCTATCCTACCTTTTTAGAGCAACCTATCTTTATTGGCTTATATATCTATTCTTGGATGACAAAAAATCATGAGAAAATTCTGGACAATAGTAGACTTCGATATCTTTCTATGACTGCAAGAACCGCCCTCATATCTGTTTTGGTTATGGAGTTATGAAAATCACAAGATGATGCAACCGCGCTGTCTAAAATCTGGAGTAGTTTCTATTGTGCACTGTTTTTGACCACCTAAACTGTAGAATTTAGAAAAGTGTTCTATAAGGAAGTTATGGAGAATTTCATAAGATTTCCAACAGTGTAAATTACAATTTTATTGGATTAACAGGGCCTGAATTATAGCTATTTTACTGCACTGTTATGTTTCTACACGCGAGGAGAAATCAAGTTGTTTGTTCTTAGATATACACATGCGTTCTCTGGGATGTCAGAAGGCCATTATGATAGTCAGTCTACCAAAAAGGAAATGCAAGCTATACTTTGGTGTCCCCTACTTTATCTTTTCTTAAGGGGGTAGCTAAGTTGAAGGATTTACAAGATGAAGTTGCATACGTTCTAGTTATTCATTTGGAAGCATCGATTGTCTCTGTGGTGGGGTCTTATCTTGTCTCTCATACTATCAATCCTATCTTGCCATCTCTTGAAGTTACATTTAAGAATGCTACAAATGACTAAGTCCTAATTCATACATGTTGAAAACAGATGGTTGCTACCAGGAGAAGTGCTTCACAAGGTGCTGGAAGGAATCCTGCCCATTCTAATCCACCGCCATCCAATTCTCCATCTATAGAGCAAGCTTTGATGATGCAGACTCAGTTATTACAGACTATTGCTCAAAGTGTGTTGAACAACCCACATCAAGCGCCACCTATTGACAAGCGTGGTGAATTTATGAAGGTACACCCACCGACATTCTCTCATACAAGCAAACCACTAGAAGCTGATGACTGGCTTAGAGTTGTGGAGCAGCAATTGGACATAGCTCAGTGTGTCTACCATGAAAAGGTGCTTTATGCTTCTGGTCAACTGCAAGGAACTGCCCAAGATTGGTGGGAGTCATTTGAGTATGGGCGTCCCAACAATGCTCCTGCTATCACCTGGCAGGAATTCAATTAGAATTTTAGGTCCTATCATAACCCGTTAGGTGAGGTAGAACTTAAGCAAGAAGAGTTCCTCAACTTGAAGCAAGGATCTATGTCAGTGTGTGAGTATCATAATCGGTTCACTCAATTGTCACGCTATGCTCCAAAAGAGGTGGATAGTGATGCTAAGAAGCAAAAATGCTTGTTGAAAGGACTGAATGATGGTTTGCAACTATAGCTGATGACCGTGGTGTACGCTGACTATCAAACATTAGTGGACAGAGCAATAGTAATTGAGAACAAGCGTCGAGAGATGGAAGAGAAGAAGAGAAAGCGTGACCTTCAATGCCAGTTAAGAAATACTCGTCTTTGTTTTGCTACACAACCAGAATGTCAGTCACACCCTATGAATTTGCTTGGAAGTAATGATCAGGATCAGTATCAATAACCCAATGATGAAGTGCAGCATTTTAGTTCTCAAGAGCCATGCCTATCATCTCCCACTATCACCTTGATAACGACAAATACTTCTACTAGTAAGGAAGGTTATGATTGTGGGGAGATTGAACCCTATAAGAACGGTTGTCTTGAGAAGTTTGCTGAGAGTAATCAAAGCCAGAGTCAACAGCAGCAGGAGCCAGAACAGAATGTCCATAGGGAGTAGGTGCAAGGCAATAAGTTGAAGTGAAACTACAATCAAGGCAGTTGAATAGTGTGGATCTGATTACCACTCATGGACCTAAGGAGGGCGTTTATGGTTTGATTGCAGTAAGCTCAGACACTGCTATGGTGTTGTTTGACTCCAGTGCGTCACATTCATTCATGTCTAGGGAATATGTGGAAGAACATAAGATAACTATGCTTTCGATGAGGAAACCCCTAATAGTTAACTCTCTAGGAGGAGAAAAGAAGGCAAACCGCATATGCCCAAAAGTTAGTCTTAACATAAAAGGGAAGAACTTCGAGGCAAACCTTATAATTTTGGAGTTAATGGATGTTGATGTTATCCTTGAAAAGGGATGGTTATCTGCTTGTAAAGGAGTAATTAAGTATGCTCAACGTTCGGTGCTACTAACAACACCGTCAGGAGAAAGAATTGAGTATGATGGTATTCAACCTGCACCTGAGGAAGACAAGAATGACCTATTAGAAGGTGTGTCCTATGAGGATAGTAAAGTGAACTGTGAGTTTTCAGATGGCAATGTAGAGGAACAAACACCTTGGGAAGGAGATATGAGACATCTATAGTTGGTTCTACGTGGACTTAGAATTGTGTTTGAGAGTTGAGCAATTTGATCTAAGCATATAAAGTCATTAATGTTTTAAAGTTGGTTATAGAACCTACTTTGGATCAGGAAAGTAAGAAGGCTCCATTGGAAGGTGAACATATGAAGAAAGAGGTCTAATAAGTATGGACTGAAAACGAAAGGTGGCCTAGTGATTGGAGTTACCTGAGTATGGTTTGGAGTATATGTCAGAATCTTGGAATCAGTTTGGCAAGATACTTGGAGTAAGGATAACAGGTATGCAAATTAAAGAAGATTCCAAAGGCGGAGAATCTAGAATGTCGAGGATGAGATTCATCTTAAGAGGGATAGAATTATAACACCCTAAAATTTGTACTTTTGAAAATAGGATTAAAATGATTTATTTATGAATTTTTGTGCACATGAAATATAGGAAAATGAATATTTTTCATTATATTAAAATTCATCATAAGGAGTAGCATCAAGGATGTGCATACATGCCGGTGCATTTGATTTAT